CGGGGTGGCCGCCGGATGCGGTAGCGCCGGGGGTGCCGGTGCCGGCGAGGACGCCGGCATCGCCCTCGTGGGTGTCCACACCGAGTATCCCCGTTACATGGACGAGCGCATGCTGGCCGGCGGTGGCGGGTCCCTCAAGGGCCAGTCCTGCGGCGGCAGCATCGAGCCCGGATCCAAGCACAAGCCCAACGTCGGCTACCGGCTGGGCAGGCGGAAGGCCCTGTTCGAGAAGCGCAAGCGCATCAGCGACTACGCCCTCGTGATGGGCATGTTCGGCATCATCGTCATGGTCATCGAGAACGAGCTGTCCAGCGCCGGCATTTACACCAAGGTGAGCGTTCATACCTGAAGAGTATCGTATAATATTCGCGACGGGGGAAAAATCCGGGATAGGATTTTATTTTATGTGCCGTGTATTTTTATATATATAAATATATATATATTCTGATATTGTATTCTCTCTATATGTATGTGTGTAATGTGATTCTTCTCTCTCTCGAATGTTTCTCGTATTACAAGACAGATGAAAATAAAAATTTGTCAAGAGTTATAGATCGTTTAAAGTGGCCTTAACTACAAAACTCTTCTCAAGAGAATTGTGTATACAAAAGTTTGCTCCCCGAAAATATTTTATTCATAGTTACAGCTATGCAATACAGTAAACAAAAACATATGTGTTAGAATTATTAATCCCAAAATGACTGTTGATATTTTCTGTCGCATAGTTTCCTTAAAACTTTCTCAATAATTCGATATTATAACGATTGAAATCGACCTCTAATTTCTCATCTGAGTCAAGGAGACTGACTTGCTCCGAATGTTAATTAAAGTTTGAAAGGAAAAATAATTGATTTCAACTCATCGGACACACCAATCGTGAATTTTTGGATATACTTGACGCAAGGTTTCTCAGCGTTTGCTCTATATCATACTATCGAACGTCCAATTAATTTTCACTTGACTGGCTAATAAGCGAGTCAAACTTTTCTTGAGGCTCCCATAAACTCGCTTCGGATCGCGTGCGGGAACAAACTCGTCGGCAATTCAAAAGTTAAATACTGAGAGCGCGTAGCACGATCTTGGAAACTCCCCCTAGTTTCTGTTTACAAAATACCGCAAACATGACCATTGTTTGGGGGATTCTCAATAGAATCAACATTAGAAATGGCTGCAGCCTGAAATTCGATTGATGAAGCAATTTTAGACTAGGTGTACGTGTCAAATTCTTTGACAATTTTGCGATTCTACATTTTGCTCATTAAGTTTTATTATCACTGGCTGTTCGAATGTATATTGACCGATATTTGAAGTGAATTTGTGATTATTATACCGCTTGTCTATATAAAATTGATGGCATTTTGATTAGTTATAAAATATACGTTCTGACAATAATATAATAGAAGATACAATTATATTTTATTTATTACATTGTAAAAAATTTTCTAAAAAATCCGACATATTTTTGTCTGAATTTTTCAGACCTAGGTGTCTGAAAGAAATTTCAGACAATCTGTCTTAATCATTAGAGTCGTTTTTTTTTTAAAGTTTAGAAGAGTGTATTTGAAAATTCAGACAGTGTCTACAAGAAGCTGCAGACACTTTGTCTGAAGTTTTAGTCAATTTCTTTTTTATAGTGTGCAAAAGAATTAAAAAATAATTAGTCGCAACACAGTTGAAACATCACACGTAGTGCGATGGTAGATAATTTCTGGATATACCTATTTTTATACTACACTCTGTGTACCCGTTCAGTTTTTTTTACGAGTATTTGGGGCATTCAGATATCTACAAATACCGCCCGCAATCTGTATGTTTTGCTTATCGTGGGCTCTCTTCGGGACACCCTGAATAAATTACGAGAGTCGCTGATAAATGATAAAGGCGCGCCATATCGAGTCCGAGAGTAGAACGAGAAAAGATCGAGACGGTTCGCTGAATATTTATCGTCAGTCGGAATCGTTCCGCGACGAAACGTTAATTCATTCGCCATCGATCAGGGCCCTTGAAACCGCGTGAGAAAAGTGCAGAGCGATGTAGCCGCGTTAATATTGCACCGATTGATCAACCGAAAAGGGCAAACCCCGGCGGTGGGATTTTATACTCGAAGGAAATTCCGGTTGATTTCTCTTTTCTCGAAAATATACCGTGACCATTTACTCTTACTGAATATTTTCTTTTTCTTCGCGAGATTGAGAGAATAATCAGAATATTACGGATTAAAGTATCCATATTTAATTGAGATATATTTCTCCTTTATATAAGGATCTATTCTTATAAAATAATATATATAATATTTGAAAAAACAAAGATTATATTTTATGGAATTTAAAGTTGATAAATTACAAGATAAAAAGAACGAGAGAAAAGAAAAATTTTAAGGATCTGAAGATCAGAGGATTGTAATGTATCTTTAGATTTGATAATCTAAAAACTAAAGTTTTCCTTAATACGTTCTCATTAATTGAGATGCTCTAATTAAACTCCTAGGAAAAATTCTTTCCTTTCTTTATACTTCGTCGAAAGTATATTCTGTGAAGCATCCTGTAGACGTGCATAGGCAGATCTCGGAAACCTTGCCGATAGTCGTCTCGGCTCCTTTCAAACTCGAAAAGCTTCGTGCTTGAATGCTCGCGACGTGAGATGAGGACTTCGGCAAGACGTCGGCAAATGTATACACGACCAGCATTTGCCTCACCGTCTCTCCGAACAATCCTTGCAGGATGTAGATTGGTCTCCCCCTTTCTCCCATCCCCCTCCGGCGCATCGTTATCCTTTCCGTCCCCCGGTCTCTCATCGCGAAGAATCAATGCTGTCGGGAACGCTCACGTTATCACGAATAACAGCTCTTTCCTTGTACGACAAGCGCTTCGCCACGTGGATCTAAATGATATATCCTCAACCCAGCAAATTCAAGGACTCGACAATCGATGAGATATCTATTAGGAACGGTTGACCAATGAGATCCGCAGAAGCGAGGAACTCCAAGATACATCGTTACGGGTGAAAATCAAGAGATTCAGAGAGAATCTCTTGCTCCATGTAATTTTCTGGTCTGTCATGAAATACGTAAACTTTCTGAATTTAGAGAAAATGTTTAAAGGAATTTTAGAAGAGAACTATGATGAATCGCGATAACTAAAAGTATTTCTCAGTGAAATAATTTTACCTTTTAATTTTCTGTAGTCAACATTTCTTAAACGACCAATAAAAATAATTAATAGAGAATTATTCAAAATAAAATCCAAGGAATTTTAAAAGAAAAATATGAATCTTGATAACTAAAAGTATTTCTCAGTGAAATAATTTTACCTTTTAATTTTCTGTAGCCAACATTTCTTAAACGACCAATAAAAATAATTAATAGAGAATTATTCAAAATAAAATCCAAGGAATTTTAAAAGAAAAATATGAATCTCGATAATTAAAAGTATTTCTCAATCGAATAATTTTACCTTTTAATTTTCTATGATCAACATTTCTTAGACGACCAATAAAAATAATTAATAAAAAATTATTCAAAAAAAATCCAAGGAATTTTAGAAGAAAAATATGAATCTTAATAATTAAAAATATTTCTCAATCAAATAATTCTGCCTTTTAATTTTCTGTGGTCAACATTTCTTAACGACCAATAAAAATAATTAATAGAAAATTATACGAAAAAAAATCTAAGGAATTTTAGAAGAAAAATATGAATCACGATAATTAAAAGTATTTCTCAATCAAATAATTTTGCCTTTTAATTTTCTGTGGTCAACATTTCTTAGATGACCAATAAAAATAATTAATAGAAAATTACACAAAAAAAAAATCCAGGGAATTTTAGAAGAAAAATATGAATCACGATAATTAAAAGTATTTTTCAATGAAATAATTTTGCCTTTTAATTTTCTGTGGTCAATATTTCTTAAATAACCAATATAAAAATAATTAATAGAAAATTATAGGAAGAAAAAGAATCCAAAAATGAAGTAAGAGATCCGCGAGAGAGATCGCTCAATTTGTGTCGACCTTTTTCATATATATTGAAGGTTAAATTCTTATTTTTTATATCCATCTTATCACCATCGTTTGCTATGTTTGTTATTAGACCCTTCATTTAGGACAGTGAGTCGAATTGATTCGCTTTGTCGAGTTAATGATTCGAGAAATGCGTGTCGGGTATTCACTATTGTATTATAACTACGGTCTATCGAGACCAATACGGGATCGTCGGTAGATAAGCCCTTTCCAATTTACCACCGCGTTTTTTACGACGCTATGTCTAAAGACGTATGGTCGAGGTGGATCGTCTGCCGAGAATCCCTCGGCGCAAATTCGACTTTATTAAAATTCGCCCCATGTTCGCCCGCAACAATTTCAAAAGTTATGAACATCCGACACATGGAATTTGAAAACGGCATGCGGTAGATTTAAGCAATGAAAATGTTTCTCTGCAAATATCCCACCGATTTTCATCCGCACTGCGGAGAGTAATTCCGAGTGTGCAAACGAGGATCAACGTAGAGAAAATAAATTGGTTCTTATTTACGCGAAAATTAATGTGAAACACAATTGCCAAACTTCGTGCTTTAAGCTTAGTAAAATATTTCGAGTCGAGCAAGAAAAGCTGGATAAAGAAAGCATGGAAGATGTGCAATATCCTTTTATCATAGTTTTTAATAGTCTTCATAGTTAATTATAAAAAGAAACTTTGTATAAGCTCAGGAAAATATTTCCTTTTATAATATGATTATCCTTTTATAATTTAATAGGTATGAGCGTCTAAAAAGTTTACCTTCCGTTAAATGGGATGTCTCCGCGACCTCGCGACCTTCGCAAACTTTATCGACTAAAAACGACTCCGTTGATGCGCCGGATATAACGAACGGATATTCAAGGCGACAAGCGCAAGCAGTCGTCCGTTATACATACACCGGGTATATATCGACAGAGCTCGGTTCGATAATCGCGATTGCGAAGGATAGGCCGCCTTGACCCGGTCTATCCTTTTTCGAACGGGAAAGCTCGTCCCCGGGGTGCTTTCGGCCGAAAGCTCGCGGAAGAGTGTCTTTTTCGCGCGCTCCTCGTCTCGCGCGACGCGAGAAACTCGTGTATTTATTCTGCTCCAAATGGGGGATATTTCTCCTGCCGAGAATTTCCCTAGGGACCGCGAAAATCCCGTTGTTGACCGAGCAATTCTCTCCGCTTGATCCTGTGCCAAGAGCAGAGCGGCGGATTAACAATATCGATATTGCAAGCTCAAAGACTTCTATTTCCAACCCCCTCCACCTCCCCTCTCCCCTCCCTCCCTCCCTCGACTGTACCGCGAAGAACCTATTCCAGAATTGA